TTCCCCATCCCCCCAGACCTTCATTTGTGGAGTATTCCCCTGCCAGGGCTTGCCACTGGTCACGAAGAAGACAAGCATGAGGAGGTGTGGCCGGCCCAAGGTGGACTCTGCAGTAGGTTCAGAATGCAGCTTACTAGGCCAGGATGAACTGGACATAGTTGGATTCCAACTAGCATAGTTGAGAATGCAGTATTCTAAGGAATGACACTTAGTATTAAGCAGCGGCACTACCAGGGAGTCTCCAGATTATAGAAAATGATAATCCTGCTATGCTGGGCCTTGGTTCCAGAGCAGGGTCAGGCACTGTCCAGGCTCACCCATGGCCTCCATCAGTGGTCAATTTCAGACTTATTTTCTGTTGATTCCTGATAGGGGCTCAGAATTCTTCCACCTCCTATTAATTATCTGCTTGTTCTTTATTCATTCAATAAACATTAACAATACATAAAATGCACTAGATACTGAGAAATAAATCAAATATTACACTTGACTTACAAAGCTTATACTCCATCATTCCAGATGCAATCTGCTTGTCATTTCAGGTTCTAACCCTGCTGTGCTCCAAGCTTGGAATCAGTGTGGGGTCACAGAAAGGGCGCAAAGCCTTTGCAACCAGGGAGGCCAGTGTCAGAATTTGGCTCTGTCACCACAGTAGATGCCTATCAACGTTCTGTCCCTAGTACTCCTCCCCTTTATCTGGTAACAGGACTTTCTTGCTGTAGGGGGACTGCTTGTCCCCCACTCAGTGATATTTGGCCACAGGATTGGGTCTGTGTCAGGCTTGGCCAATCATGGTGCCTCTTTATCCTTGGTCAGAGTAGAGGTTAGGTCCCAAGTTGTGACAGGAAGAACTTTTTCTTTCTTTCTTCCTCCCTCCTTTCCTTCCTTCTTTCCCTTCTTTTGTAGAATTGGTATGTTAGAAGCTGGGAGAGAGAATATGTCTTTCTTGATATGACACAAGCCCCCATCCTCCACTCCTTCTACAGGGGGACAAGTTTTCTGCAGTAGAGAAAATTCAGGAAGCACAAGAAACAGAGGAAAGCAAAGGAGGGGAGAGGGAAGGAGGAAGGCAGAGAGGGGAGGGGGAAGGAAGATTACAAACTCGATGACATAATTGGAATCAATGAAGACTCTAGGCTGGCTTCACCCGGGACTGTCAAGTGATACCAGCCAATAAATTCCCTCTGCCTTAAGCTGGTGATCCCGCCCTCTAGACAGAGGGGAGTGAGGCAGCAGGCAGCCATGGAATAAGGAATGACCCTATCTCTGTAGATGACAAGAGGGAAAAGCAACACGGTTTCTGAAGAATAATTCTAACTGTCTGTGCCTGTAATTACTACTGCATCGTTTCATGCTTCATACTCCAATTGTCTTTGCAGCAATAAGCTTTTAAAAGGGAACTGTATCTATACCTTGTCCCATGTTTCCCTTTGAGTATAGATCTGAAGTGAGCGTGTTCAGGGTGGTCCTGCCTCCCCTGTGGTTTGAAAGTCCCCATGGGACCTGGGATTTGCTGTTCCCATATTTTACCTGCAGCCACTAACTGCAATATTCATACTTTTATCTTTGCAGCCTGCATTATGCTTTGGAAAGCCCTTTCATCTGCATGATCTCATTTGATTCTCAGGGCATCTGTGAAGAAGGCAGGGCTGGATTACCATTCCTACCTGTCAGATTGAAAAACGGAGGCTCAGACCCTGGGACCTTGGCATCAAAAGAGAAAGGCAGAGGCAGGACTTGTGCAGTGTTCTCACAGGGAATGAATGGTACGGAGGTGGAAGGGTCCCTGAAATTGGAGTCAGAAGGCCCAGGCATGAGTTCTGGCTCTTTTACTTACTAGTTGTCTGACTTCGGGCAAATCATTCAGTCCCTCCCAGAGTTGGTTTCCCATTTGTCAGATACTGGGATGATGTTTTCCTTCAAGGATTCTTGTGACTACCACAGGAGATGGTATAGAGCAAAGGATTTTGTGAGCTGTAAAGTTATGTTCATCTGTTCAGGGTTGACCTTTATTAGTGGTGGGCAGTGGCATGCTCAGTTCAGCTAGTCCAGGCTCTCAAGAGCAGTAGTGCCACACCTCCTCCCAACCCCACAGTTTAGTGACATCATGTTAGTAACTTGAATTCAGCCACAGTGAGAATATTTACACCAAGGAAATTGGCAAATGCCACAAATCAAGGCTTTGCTTTCTCTCTAGAGAGTCAGTTGTTGCCCAGCACACCAAAGTGGTGGAATGGAAGGGGAAGAGAAGAAAAGCATACTAATATTTAAGGTGTACTGTATATATTGAATGCATCTATATAACATCTCCTTTAGTGCTCACAACAACTCCTGGGGCAGACACTGACCCTGTTTTATCGATGAGGTAATTAAAACTTACAGGTCATAACCTGCTCAAGAACACAGAATATAAGACAGAGCAGGGATTCAAAGTCAGGTCTCATGTTCTCTCTGATAACCAGGCAGGATTCCAAAGATGCACCCATTAGCATCAATTCTTTCCTTGATCCCCAATCAGCAATAGTGAGATATTAAGTCAGTTTCTAGGGCCACTGAACACTTAAGATACCTGTTTGGACTTCAGTATCCTAGTTTTCAGATAAAGTGTCCTGGAAGAAGATGGGGAGGAGTGCAGTACATTGAGCTGGGTACAAGGGATGAACTGACTTTCTTAGAGACACATAGTTCAGGGTCCCAGAAGATAGTCACTGCCATTAGTTTGGGACTGCTGGAAGCATTTCAGGCATAGGGAGAAAGTCAAGGGCACCTGGGTCCAGATGCCAGTTCTGCTACTTTACCTAGCTGGGCTCAGCTCCCCTATTTGCCAAAGGTGGACAGTACCCACCCAAATATACCTGTTTCACCTCACTGAGTTTCTATGGTGTCGGTGCGGGAAAGGATTCTGAAGGCCTCTGGAATCTGTTAGGCTGCACAGGTGTAAGGGAATGATCATGTGTCTCAGTTGAGAACCTTTCCTCCTGTTGCTAAGAGAGGAAGGGCTGCTTTCCTTTCCTGCCATCTCCAGCTCTACATGCTATCTCCACCCCCAGCCCTTTTTTTCCCCTTCTATTTTTATACCTGAGTGTTTCATATCATGTCCTGCATGCTTCCTACCAGAGGGTCTCAGACAGGAAAAACATCAAAAGGACCTGAACAAAACAAGAATTGGTTTTGTGCCTGAGGAGATGACAGCTGAGTGCAGGGACCAGCATTACCAATGTAAGCCTTTCCCCCATATGCTGAGAGGAGCTCTTCTGAAACAAGACCGTTCCATGATATGGATGGCCAAGCCTCCCTTCCCCAGATGCGAACAAAGGTCTTAGAGGAGCACTCCAGAGGACCTCCAAGGGAAGCATGGTGACGAAGAAATTCATGGTCATTTAACACCTTAGCTGTCTTCCTGGCTCATTCATCTTTAAATAATTCAGTGAGAACATATATTATTCTTTATATTTTCCAGCTAAGGGAAAGGATACTCAGTGTATGGTGGGAGAAGTTAATATTCAAGCTCCTGGGGTACTTGTCAAGCCTCTCCTCAGCAGACCTAGTGGAAGAGGGGAAATCCCTGTGGTTATGCAGGCCAGGGAATAGCAGGGGACTTTTATTTAGCACCATAGGACCCTATCATGCGTTCTCTGGCTCCCACCCATGCCCTCTCCAGTCCATTCTTTGCATAGCAGCTCGAGTGTGGTTTTACAAAGGCAAATTGTATTATCTCCAATCCGGGAACAATTACACCCCTCTAAACTACAAGCTGAAAGTAAAGTCTAGTTGCCTTACTGTCCCCTAAGACCAGCCTCTCTGACAAGCCCCACCCCACATCTTACCACTCATCACTATGCTTGTTATGTGCATTCTGCTACAGTTGGTTTCCTTCAGCTCTTCATGTGCATTCAACTTATTCCTGCCTCAGGGCCTTTGCACTTGCTGTTCCCTTTGCTTTTAATGCACTCCCACCTGACACCACTCTCCACCCCCATCTTTCATGCTTGGCTCCTTATACAGGTCTCTGGTTAATTGTCACCTCCTCAAAGAGTCCTTTTCCAACCTCCCAGCCTGATGTCCTACCCCAGACATTTCCTATCACATGTCACCATCTGTTTAAATTGTCATAGTGGTTATTACTAACTGCTAGTTTCTTGCTAATTTACTTATTTTCTGTGTCCTCATACTAGACAGCAAGTTGTAAGAGTAAGGATTACCTGTCTATCTTTTTGAAAGTCCTATCCCATTCCGTAAAATAGAGATTTGGCACATACTAAGTATACAATAAATACTTATTTAATGAGTAAATTGTTACTGATATATTATCCTAGGAAGGGCAGGCCTGGATGAAGGAAGAAAAGCCCTATCAATTCCTATCACTTTGTGTATGTAAACCTCTGTGCTTATCTCATTCGATTCTGGCAACAATCCTATGAGACAGATAATTCCCATTTTGCAGATGAAGAAATGGAGGCTCCATCATTGGCACCTAAGGTCACACTGCTGCTCCTAGAACCCGTGTTTGCCTGTTCCGGTGCCCATACAGTGGATCACGGGGAGGCAGAAACGTGTCTCTGAGGATCACACGTGCAAGAGAGTGTGCTGCCACAGAGCCCCGTGCCCATGAAGACTCCAGTGAGGAAGGGGCTGGGTAAAAGCATGTGCTGGGCAAGACCCAACGGTAGTTCAGAGAGGGCTCCCCTTAATAAATTATTGCTTGGCCTAAAGTCCAGAGTTCCTTAGGGAACAGGCTATCCCAGAAGGGCAGGACTGCTGAGTGTTTGCAAGTTGCAGGCCTCGTTGTGATCGGAGTGGGGAGAGCTTGCGAGGGGGTACCGAGGTCCTTCTCTCGTCGTGCCCACCTCTTGCCCAGGTCGGCTCCGCGGCCGCTGCGGACGCCTGTGCTGTGCGCTAGGTGGCGAAATGCGGAGGGGCTCCCCTATTCGGGGGAATGCGGTAGTGATGTATACGGTATGAAAGATGTGGCCTGCAGAGAGCCGGCACTGTCTCCACTGCCGCCGCCGCTGCCACCGCCGCTACCGCTGCCGGCAGAGCTGCTGAGAGTGAGCATCCCCTGTCCGGGACACCCAGCTTCGCCTCAGCTCCCGCGCGCCCGGGCCCCACACGGACCTGCCAGCCCCAGGGAACAAAAGCCGAGCTTCTCGTCCTCTCCTGCAGCCAGAGGATGAGTCGAGAGGGCTGAGCGGAGAGTGTGGTCCTCAGCGGCTGGAAGGTAGGAGAAGGTGTTGCGCTCTCCACCTCGGCGTGGGAGGCTCGGGGTGGGCGCGCCAGGGGCCCAATCTGTCCCATGGGCGCTGCCCGGCCCCGACGAGGTGGTCATCTGGAACGCCGCGTCCGCACTGCCTGGCCACCGCAGGGCGCACGCCCTGCTCCCGCAGCCGCGAGGGAGCCCCCAGGGTGGGAACTGGAGGCAGCGGGGAAAAGTCTGAGGCCCGAAGCTGGGCAGCGGCGGCTGCGGAGCGGCTGCTCGCGGCACTTGGCGGCGCGCGACTCTGCGAAAAGCGGGCGGGTGGCGGCTGCAGTGTGCGCAAAGTTTTGGGTGGCGCGCAAAGACGCAGCGAGGGCCGCCGCGCAAGTTGCGGTCAGAGCCGGAGGGCGACCCCGGGGGAGGCCCCAAGCGGTCTCGGGGAGACAGAACTAGTGTCTTTTGCTCCCCCCATGGCATCCTGGGCTGGTTTGAAGCGCAGCCGTTTAACCCTTCCAGGTCTGGGGGAACCAACTTCACCCTCATCGGAAGCGGGTGGACTCCGGCTGGCTGGGCAGCGCCGAGGCTCCCGGCTCAGCCCTTCTGTGGTCTTGCGCATTTCCCCACTCAGTCCAGTTTTTCTGTTCTTCTCTGCCCACTTTTGTGTCCAGAAACCAGGCAAGCTGGCTGGGGTTTTTACTCCAGTCTGTGATTTTACCCCTCGAGCCATCCAGATGCGTTCCTCCATCCCACCCCCCGCCCCCGCCCAAGCTTGGCGCTTTGATGCTGCCTTGAAAAATGAGATGATTAATCAATTAGGTTAGTGACCAATTAGGCATAACCTTGTAGGAAAATATTTATGCCCAGCTCTCTGGGCTTTTACTGGTGATGAGGTGGGAATCCAGCCCAGGTGGAGGGGCTGTTCCAAAAAGATATGGCTGATCAGGGAATTTCTGGGAATTCAAGATTAAAAAGATTCAAATGGGTGGGGGTGGCAGAGGTTGTGGGGATGCAGTCGGAGTGTGTGTGTGTGGCTGTGTGTGTGTCTGTGTGTGTGTGCACGCGTATCAATTTCTTTTGCGTAGGAAATTAACCCTTGGCAGCACAGTCAGGGTGGACTTTGCAGGCAGCATGTTTCCAATAGCTCAGAAAAGGTGTGTTCCCTGCTTGCCAGCCCCACAGCCCCTTGAATCTGAGGGGATCTCGCCTGTAAATCACCTCACAGTGGCTTGCTGCTGCTTTTGGAGGCTGAGGTCAGATGAATGCATTTTAGTTTTCTGTCCGAGGAATCCCATCGTTGCAGAAGGAGGTTCCTATACTATACCTTCTGAGGATTCACATTTCCCCTGCTCTAGTTAAAAGAAAAAAGCAGTTATTAAATGGGTGCAAACAGAGACAATCTGTTTCCAGGGATGGGAAGTTCTGCTGCTGAGATGGGCTTCTTTTTTATTTTTTGGAATTTCTGGCTGGGTTTGGCACTGCAGTATTACAATACAGCCATATTAAAAAGGTCTTCAGAGCTTAGAGCCCTCCACCACTGCAGCCCCATCTTCAGCAGACTTCGCTGCTCCAATCCTTCTTGCCAGAAGCATGCAGTGGATTTCTAACATTCCCTGTGTGCATTTTTACCCCTTTCCATCTCTATTTTAAGCTTCTCCTATCTGTTAATACATCTGAACCCTATGTAGCAGATTTCTGTTCACAAGGAAAAAACCTAGAGGTGTTCCCAGGGCAAAGGAATTTTTGCAACAGGTCTTAGGTCTGGGTTTTCTAATAATTCATTCCCCTGGCACTTAGCGAGTTGGGGCCCCAGACTCTCCACCAGTGACCTGACCAATTTGAACCAGATGGTCGCTAAGATCCCCCGCAGTGCTGACATTAGCTGGTTCTGAATTTTATGGCTTTTCTTCTTTTCTGAGCTGATCCGACCAGTAGCTGAGCAAGCGCAACATGACAGCAGCAGTGCCACCTCACTCCCAGTGGAAAGGGGTGGCTGGGGCTTGTGGCCAAATGGGAATTGCCCAGCTGGAAGACTGCCTAGTGATACTGGTGTCCAGGGACAACTGGGAGCCATAGGCTCCACCCACCTTCCCCAAAATGAAGGGCCACCATTCAGCCCTGTCTCTTTTCTAAGATTTTTTTTCTTGAAGCTAGATTCTGCTAGCATCTTACTGTGATCATATTTGTTGGTCAAACTCTTGTGTTAAGAGAGGCCCTGCTCCTTTTCTAAAATAGAAGCTTTTTCTATATAGTGGGAAGGGATATGGGGGAAGAAGGAAAGAAGGGAGGAAAGGAAAGAGGGACAGACGAAGAGATGGGGGACAGTGATGAGAGAGAGAGAGAGAGACAGCTCAAGACGTCAAGTACAGCCAAGTAGTGGGAAAAAGGTGGGAGATGGCGAAGGAGGAAGAGGAGGAAGAGACACAAGCAGGGGAGGGAAAACAGAGAGGGAGAGATTCTAGTAGACAGAGGGACAGAAGGGCTCATATGAAGCAAAGTCTTATCATATGGCTTGAAGAAAATGTAAAGGGAAACTCCCAACTGCAGAAGACTCATTCCAGACAGACTTACTTGGAACTCAGCTTTGACATAAGTGAACAATTACTTATGAAATAAGCATTGCACCACAGAGAGCTTAAATCTGTTTCTCATTTCTTCTTTGACTGGGGACTCCGGTTGTTGGAGGAGTGCTGGAGCTTGGAGGGGTGAGCAGATGAGCTTTGCACGGCCCCAAGAGCCTACTCCCGTTTGCGTCAAGTCAGGGCACTCCATTTGGACACTGGGTGTCAGAACAACTTGGAGGGGAGGTATGCCTTTGGTTTTAGATCTGTCTTCCATAAAATAGGTGACTTCTTTAAAAGTATATTTTTAATTTATTTAAACTTGGGGAAAAAAGGGGAAAATGGAGGGGAGGGATCATATAGTAAACACCTGTACCTGCCACCTAGAACTAAATGATGGGAAAATGATTCTGAATCATTTTCTCCTCTCTAACCTCCTTTGTCCCCATTCCAGATCATTCTCAGGTGAGCCTCCCAACTCATTTCCTGGTCCCCTGCAATTGTGACATGATCTTCTAATACATAGCTTTGATCATATTGCTCCCCAGATCAAAAAACATAAAAGTTTCCCTATTGCCTAAAGCATATTATTCAAATCTCTGGCCATAGACTTCAAGGCCTTTCATAGTCTGGCTTTTTGGCTCCTTACCAAAGGAGCCACCCACACCCACACACCATACACATTTATATGCACACATTTATATGCACACACACAAACACACACACCTTCCGACACCCTCATGCACATACACACTTACATAAACATACCCTCACACACATAATCACGGTATCACCATGCACACACACTACACTCATATCATACATGCACGCCACACACATGCCCCTCATGCCTTTGCCGGTGCAGCCCTCTTCTCTTTATAGAAAACACATTCCTACTCCTTACCCTGGTAAACCCTACTCATCCTTCAGGATCCATCTCAAAAGTGACATCCACTGAGAGGTCCCTTTCTGCAGTGATCTTGTATTCCCTTAGCACACTTATCTTGAAGCTCTGTGTTACAAACCTCCCTGTATTTTTCTCTCCCAGTAGACTGTGAGTTCCCGCCAAGTGGGGATAAGTTGGTTACCTCTTCAATCCCAGGGTATAACACAGTGCTTGGCACAAACATGTCTGATTCATGTTTCATGAATACATTTATTTTAAGAGCTTCTAAAGGATGAGTAACACCTATGTTATTTTTTTCACTTATTTCATATAGTTATTTTTTTTCTTTTGATTACAAAAATAATACTGACTTTTAAAAAATTCAAATGATACAGAAGTGTGTTAAAAGTAACAGCCCCTCACCCAGACACCCTCTATTGTTAATGCACCTGTTATTAAACATTCACATTTCTTCTTGACCTTTGTTTTATGTTATATTTTCCTCATTAGACCATATACAGGGATCATGAGGTATATATCTATGCATGTCCCAATAATGCTTCATGCAGTGTTACAGATGTAGGAAGTACCCAACAAATATGGAATAAAGGAACACATACTAGTTGGGTTTTTAAAATTACATTAAACAAATTGTTTCACTAATCTTCACAATAGCCTTATGTGATGGTTGTTAAACTCCTTATTTTATAGACAAAGAAAGCTAGGCTGTAAGAGATTATATAAATTAACGAGGTCAGAAAGGAAAGGAATAATGGAAATTGGATTCAAACCCAGATTTCCTTTATTCCATTGTGCCTTTCTGCTCTAACTCCATAAGTGGGTCTGTGGACACCCAGAAGAATGGTGTCTTGAACTCAGTTTTATATTGCCAACATTCACTCAGAGCTTAAGAGTTTATGGAGCCCTTCCCCGACATCTTCTCAGTTGTCCTCCCAAGCAGGTGTCATTATCCTTCCACAGATGAGAAATGGAAGCAGACATGAGAAGTTAATGTGACTGAGCTTCTAAAGCTGAGAAGAGGTGGAAGGTGTTGAACCCAGGTTTTGGAGACCAAGGATCATTCTGTATTCTCAGATGTGAGAGTTGGATCCCTGAAAGGGGCATGGAATCTTCTGTCTTCATTTAAATATGGTGACTTAATGGAAAAGAAGGAGTTTGGCTGGTAGAGCTGCATCCTGGAAAGGGTAGGGTTTGCTGGCACTCTTGTCTGGGGATTTCAGCATGGGTTTGATCCACATTTTCTGGGCCTGTTGCATTAAGAACTCCCTCTATGTCACTCAGTCGTGCTCCTCTGCATGTCTGAAGTCTTCTTTGAACCAGAACTGTGGAGATTTTTTTTGCTTCAGACTTTTGTGAGCAACTGTGGACATAGTTTGTACTTCTGTAGGTACGTTACAAAACCTGATGTGTTGGTTTGACAGTTTGGTGTTGGGATATTTTGTCAGTGAGTCAGTGGGTGCTGGAGGCTTCCAAAGCTTGACTTTAATAGCCTCTGCTTTCTGGGTGGGATACAGCTCCCATTATTGAGTTCTCGATGTTTGTCAAGTATGGGGTTAATT